TCACCACCAAGTCATCCTACTACAATTCTCATTGTTTCACACTTCCTTTTACTAACTTTAAAAGCATTTACAAGTTCATGTTTCTTAAGAAAAACCCCACTACAACTACAGAAGCAAAGGAATAATTAAAGAGAAAGATGAAAGTAAAAACATCATTTAAGCATATGTAAACCCATGTCCCATAATAGGCTGGATACTGACAGTGAAAAACTGAAAAAATGTGTCTATGTACTATTACTAGGACTATATAGGAAAAACACAAATTGAGACTCTTGAAAAACAGACATTGTTGAAGGTGTCAATACAGCAGCTGGGCAGTTCCTTCAGTTTTTGAGTTGGTAAAGAACTGATCTAAGCATCCTTACTGCCAAGTTAAATTCTGTATGGAAGGTGAGGAATTAATAAAAAGAGCATATGACCTGGGAAGTGAGAATACCTTACTACTCTCTAGCTTTCCTAAAACCTTCTATACAGGTAATTCACAATCTAACAAACTGTACCCATGATACTTACTTTATCATCATTTTTAAAGATGCACTAGAAAAGGACACAGAGGATTTCCTGCCTCCAACAAACTTACATATGAACAGAAGCTGGACTATCATCTCTCTGGAAGGTTCCTTCACTTCCAATGGTCTCTCTGCGTTTTCCTGCTCTGTCTTTGTACTTTGGATTCTTCACTGCTTTGTTGTCGTCATACTCTGTGTTCTTTACAGGCAGATTAAATTCGATCAAGACACAGAAAGTGGGCTGTAAAGACTTTATTTTTGATAACTTCACTGCTTCCATCCAAAAGTAAGGTAACTTCAGCCTATTTCATTAATTATACATCTTATAACAAAACCCTATCATTCTCAAGTTTCTTACCTTACAGCTATACCTTGTAAGGTACGTTACTGCCATCATCACAGAGTGATGTAATATTGCCATATTCATGGCACTACAAGTGCTAGGTGTAACCCCACAGTTAAAATAATCTCTAAACCAGAAGTAACTTGAATACATCTATAGTCTATTGTCTGTACATTCATGTTGACACCCTTTTGTGGCAAAGCAGACTTAAACTTTAAAAAAATTTCCCTCTTGGTCCATAATTTTTTTCACTCGCTCATTATTTTTCCTTTCTGAATGGAAGACAGTATTGCAACTTAGCGCAAACTTAATTTGCAGAAATAAAAATGGAAATGTCTTAGAAAGTGGATGTAGACTTCAAGCAGTAGAGCAACTTCTGGAAACTCACCTGTAAGCCATATTTTACCCGTATTTGTTTTAATGCTTTTCTTCTGACCAACTCTCTCTCTTCTTTGCTAAGTGCTGGGCAAACTAAAAGGAAGAACGCAGGATTGAAGTTCTAATTAATAAAGGGAACAATGTTTTGAAACATAAAATAACTGTGAGAATTTCTGTTCTACCATTATTACACAGACACACATACCAAGAATAAAATACATTGTCATGTATTGTACCCAGATGACAAGAAATTTGTAAGAAAATTGAAGTAATTATTATAAATAAAGCACCATAGTCAAAAACATCCCAGGATAACATGACTAACCAGAAGACTCCTTCTTCCTGTCCAGGCGGAGGTGTGCTCTGACTTGCCCTGGCTCGCATCCATCACAAGTATCACTGCCAGGATGGATATGAAATGAAAGCACAGTTTCACCAATCTTCACTTCATCTCCATGCTCCAAGACGTAGGGATTGCACTTTGTTTTAGGCTACAGCAAAAAAAAGTTTTGGCAGACATGAATTAATTGCTAATGAGGGGCACAAACTATTATTTCATTAATACTGCTCGTAATTTAGTAATTCGGTGTGGTCTCACAAATGCAGGCAAGTTTTTAACTAGAGTGGTTATTTCACTTGAGCAACAGCAACTGCAGTGGATTTTTCCAAATATAACTAAGTGGCCCTAAGAACAGAAGGGAACCAAGAAAGAGACTAATGTATACAAGCCATATAATGATGTTGTTAGTGATTTGCCATAACATATTTAAAACAACCACATGACTACAGTTATCTGCAATGTACACACATATATTGAGCTGTATCATGCAATGTACACGATGTATGCTATAACAACAGATACTCACCTGGAGAATCTGATTTCCATTAACAACTGTTCCATTCTGACTGCCTTGATCCACAAGAACATAATTTTGCAAATTGTGGTCAAAATATACTTCTGCATGGAACTGATAAATAGAAGCCTAAGTGAAATGGTCTTATTAAGCAAATACCTCACAATTCATATGCTATTTTAAAGTCAGATTTCACAATACATTGAGGTGTTTAAAATGTGTGGCTCTAGTTCCACACCTTATGATTTCATCCATATTAAATGGAAATGAATGGGCCACGACAGCACAAACTAGAGTATATCATTAATAATATAATTCATTTCACCATAAATTGATTCAGTACCGAAGAAGTACATACTTGTAAAGTGGAATTATTCTTTACTTAAAGGACTGCAAGATTCAGTAATATAAAATTTTAATAGTTCTTATAAATAAAAAGCTTTTTTCTTGGAAGGTATGTTACAGCAAGCTAATATTTTTTCTCTTTTAATAAAAAAAAAAAAAAAGAAATCTGATCTCATTCTACATCTTCCCTTTACTTAGTCTTTCATATCTGAAATAGGTCCCTAAATACCATGCTTCAGTAAATTTCACATAATTCAACCTTCACCTGAATCTTCATGCCCAGGTCAGGCTGAGTAGCTGTCATTCACTGTTTCTTTTATATCCTTTCTGATATTGAGACTAAAAATCAATTTATTTTTTTTTGTTTGATTTGTTGTTTCAATTCTAGGTATTGCACCCAAGCCCAGAGAGGGCAAAGAACTCCTGGCCAGACTCACAAAGATATACACTACCTTCAAAAATGCCACTGACCAAAACAAAATATCAACTTGTGGCCAACTAAGACTCTCAGTGAAAAAACAGAATTCTAAAAAAGTGAAATAACTTCTTACATAAACAGTCAGGTATCCATGAAGTACTAGAATGACAGAAATATAAAAGCCTTTTATGCACCCAATTTTAAATACATGGCTGAAAAAGTCATTAGTAGCAGGGAAAGATTTGTTTTGGAAATTGTTCAGTATGAAATACAGTACGTGGCTGATTAATCAGAATTATATCATTGGCACAGATATAGTAAAGCATTATTTCAGATACTTGCATTTCCAGATGTTTTTATCTTTTTTTGTTGTTCTTTGAATGACATGTCTTTGTCAATCTACGCTTTATTTTGTTACAAATGTCTGTATTTATGGTCTATGTTGAAGCAGTTAGCAAAACAGAACACATAATTTATCTTAAATGTTCCTTAATGAGAAGAAAAATTTTCTATTATAATCTGTCACAGTTAAGTTCTGTTAAATTTTCAAGTTCCCTGTACATCACTTACATATTTACACAGTTGCCTTGAAGAAAACCTGTTGTTCTGAGCAAAACTGCACGGATTAGATTACTTATGACAAAGTTTAACTAGCTGACAGCAACACTTTAATACCATTAGAACTTAACAGATGACAAAGTTTAATTAGCTGACAGCAACACTTTAATACCATTAGAACTTAACAGAGTACTAAGTTTTCATCTAGTTCAATAACTAAGAAATCGAAGATTCAAAGTATTTTTTACTGCGCATTACACTATGGACTAGTAAAACTCCAATTTTAAAAAAAAAAATTAGCTTTTCAAGACTTCAAAATCACTGTCATTCATGTGAAAGTCCCATTTGGTAAAATACTGTATGTTCTCCTTTCTTCTAACTTCAGATGTGGTTAAACCTACATCTCATTCTAAAAGTTCTTACAGTTAACATAAGATTGTGCAAAATCTAAAGCTTTATTCATATGCTGATCTACCTTTCAGCAGACAGACCAAGATTTACCTTACTGACTCCAACTTCAGGAATCTGAAGTGTGTGTCCCACATCTTTTTCTCTGGAAAGGCAAGTTGATACATAAATCACAAAAAAGTAGAAACAGGTCTACTAAGTGGCTTACAAAAGGTGTATTCCAACTGAAGCTTAATACCATGTTTCTCTTCTGAGCCACTATGAAGCTTTACAGAAGTAAATCCCTGTGTTGCTAAACACATAATGTAAAGACTTGCTTCAGGTGCCTTCTTTCATTTATAAACTATACACAATAGGCAATGAATAATGATAAAGCTGTACTCTACATTTTTATCTATAAACATGACATTTCTGTCTCAACTTTTATAATCGTACAAGCCCTTAAATAATAGTTTGAACTCTGCATCCTTCAGGCTCTTCAGTACATCCTGGCATCAGTCTTAAACACTGAAGCTGAATTCTTGGTAGCTGAATTCACTAGGCAGGTAATGCAAGCAACAAACGTGTAATCTGTATAGATTTGTTTTTGTCAGACACAGCAGTAGGAGGAAGGGATTTGTGTATTTGCTTCTTATACCAGGGGAATGAGGAAGCAATGCAGCTAGCAATGGACCTATATGCAAACTGAAAGCAGGATTGTCATCTGTCACTCTTCACACACATGTAACTAGAAAACTCCAGCTGTAAAAACAAATCAAAACACATATCACCACTAGATAAAAGCAGCTGAAAAGGTATGAGGTTTTCAGTAAGCATGGAAGAAAGCATTAATTCATCATTACAGTTATAATCCACAATGAACAAACCAGATTTAATTTTTTTGTTTTTAAATATTAGAACTGGAAGAATGCATACAGTCTAGCACAAGGCCCAACTCATTATTTAAAACCAACAAAACAACGCTACTGGAATTTCAATGTGTGAGGAAGTCCAGGATGTGCCTCCTTGTGATTCAACATTTCTTAAGTGTGTCCTTCCATTTCTGAAAAAGTTACCTTATTGGCCCAGAAAAAAAGATTTATTCACTCTCTAGCAAACAACAGTTTTCAAAGAATGACTTGCGGCTATCTGCCATCAGGACTCAGGCACAAAAATCAAGTTATAACTAATAAATTTTCATTTCTGCTGAGTTACATTAACTGTGTATGCTGCTATCACAAGTATGACATTATGTGACATGACTTAGATTTCTTACTGTGGGCTAGCCTAACTCAAGAGCACCTCACAAATGCCATGGGCTAGGAAGACAAGCATCAAGTGTAGGGATTAGCAATCCCAAGTGGTTTCCACAGCTTTGAAAGCAAGGTATATCCCAGATACAGACAAAGCCCGTTCAGTTTTACCTTCCAATTGTAGCAGGTTTCACAGCTGTGATAATATAAAGTGATCCAGTCTGTAGAACTGGTGATCTTATTACAATCACTCTGATACAAGGAGGCCAGATCTTTTCTTCATCTATAATTATAAAAAAAATAAACAGTTACTACCAACAAATTACAGTTTTACCCCTGTAGCCCATAGCTTCCAAACAGCTGATGCCAGCTCAGCTATCATCTGGCTAAGTCCTATGCAACTTTCAGAAAAAGAAACGTATAAGCACATCTGAGAGAAAACTTTGATGAGACTACTGTTTCAAAGGCTTTCCTGCAGCACACTGAAGTATTAAAATTTTTTTGTTATTTACATGTCCACAGCTGTTTGGTTAGAGCAATAAACTATAAATACATTCACAGAATTTACTAGCATATTATGAATTTATGGACCATTAATTATAACAGATTAGAATACAATTTTGCTTCGAGAAAAGGCAGCACCTTTTTGTTCACATCCCAACCCTAATGCGTATAGAACTTTATATTTGATAATTTCTATGTCAAATTTATTTTTTACTAGTTTTTACTCTTATTAGCACTACACACCAATACAGATAAGAAAAAATAAAAGATGAACCTACAGATACATATGCTTTTTCACCTTGTATCTGCTAAGTAATTGTATTCTAACAGCTGTTATCAATTTTGTTCTTGGATGTACACTTGCAGAAACAGTGTCCAATCATCTCAGCTAGGAACAGACATGGTAAGATGGGAAGGCACTAACTCAAAAGGTACTAGGAGGATTGAAACCATCCCCAGCTTTTATTACTCCAGCATCACTATAGAATTGATTATTAGAAAATAGGAGAAGAAAATTTAATCTGAAAGCTTGATGGTGGAGTAAGAACATTCTGAATGGCGTTAATCACTCAGAATCCAAGTAGTTGAGTAAGTAAAGTAATGAAAGCAGAGGAAACAAACTGACTGATTAAACAGGGCACAGGCTGCAGTACAAACTGTCACAGATTGTATTCGCTTCTGTGATTTGGAATATCTTTTGCATATACATAGTTCCAACTGGTTGCATGAAGCTTTTCACAGTTTTGTTAGTTTTTTTTTGTTTGTTTGTTTCTTTGTTTTTGTTATGTTTTGTTTGTTTTTTGTTTTTTAAGAGACCATTCAACTCTTAAGTAGGTCTTAAGGATCTAGAACACTTTCTTTGGTACAAAACAGCATACAGGCTTCCTCTCTATGCCCCTTTCTTATATTGCTCATTTCTATTGCCACTGGAATACACACAAAATATGTGGAGTACTTGGTACCTTTTCACCACAGTGGACTCATCTTACATTGAATTCTGCATGGCTGTTTATGAACAGTACCAGAAATGTTATACATTAATTGGAGAGAGTTAATACATAGAATGAGTGCGAGTTCTGTACTAGAACCTCTATTTTAGCAACAGACTTTCTTTTCTTCTGTCACTCTCCTAATCTAAACAAATCTCACCTTACCACTAAGATTTCTATGCAACCAGTACCTATTTAAGGCAATTGAGCAAGTGAAGGGAAGAAAACAAATGCTGGTAACATATAGATAGCACCTTGCAAAGTATCTCAGGTCACATGTTTGTGGTTTTTTTTTTTTTTTTTTCAAACTGTTTTCTTGCACTTTTGTTCTTAATGGGCTCCTGGAAAAATACAGTAACATCATACATAAAAGCCACAGTAATTCACCTTCGTTTTCTGAGTCTTCTGAATTGGCAGTTTCTTCACTTGTTATTTCATCCTCACTGCTGTAGGCTTCACGCTCCGAATCTGTAATTTCACCTTCTTCTGGCTCACTCTCTGTATCTGCTGTTCTACTGTCATCTGTATATGCTGCAGTATCTGGTGTACTTTTGCGTGAATGTGAATTCGTACTGTCTGTAGGAACTGATTCTTTGGCTGCTACACTGTTTGGTGGTTCTGTGTCCATTTTAGTCCTCTTTCTTGTATTTGGAGACTCTTCTTCTTCAGTAGAACTTACTTGCTCAGTAGTGGAAAAACAATTCAGACTGTTAGATGTTTTCTGCTCTTCTGCGTCCAAATCCTGGAGGGGAGTCATATAATGTTATATTCTTTACAGATTGTGTTAATCTAAAGCCTGCTATCAGCCTGGAAGTAAATTCTTCACTAGGAAGAATTATTTTCACAACTATTAAGGAATGGTTAAGTTTTCAGAAATTTTTGCAAGTGTGGTCAGTAGAACATTTCAGTAGAAACATTCTCATCCTACTAGACATGACTGTCTTCTACTTTGGAAAACGTAACTGCACTCCTCTTCTAAACTTCACTTACTCCTTTCTCTTTTCTAAAACCAAAACTTAAGATCCTTGTCCTCACTTTTGAACTTGTGCAACAGCATCTTGAATCTCGTCCAGTTTTGCTTTTATGACACTTACTTCTGTCCCTCTCTTACTCAATTCTTGCAACTTGTTTAGAAGTTCTTTAATTGATCTTCTTATATCTTCCTCCTGTTTTTGTCTTCTTATTTTTTTTCCACAATGGTCCACAATATCAGGAATGTTGACCCATGCTCACCTAATGACCTGTTCTTCCTCCTTTCAAAACTACAACTTTAACAAAGCCGTTCATCAAGATACTGTAGAGGATTTAAATTATGTTATGTGAAACAGTTCTACTGAGAATCCGTTTTGTACTGCAACAAATTTCCCCACTGAATACCAGATTAGATCATTGCAGGTTCTTCCACTGCCACCTGATTCCATCAGTAGAAAAAAGGCTATCAACATTTTTTTAACTGAGAAATCTAAAGTTTCATATTAATTTTCCTAGAGTACCTTGAAAATGTAATTATCAATCTAGTAGCCCTGATACCTGTCTTAGAGGGAGGGGAAAAAAAAGACGGAATACAAATAGATTTAAAAGAGAAAATTTAAAAAACCTCAGATTTTAAGTGATTTGCCATCTTGGATTCAGAATGAATGCATTCAATTGTACCAAATATTGCACAGAGCAGTTAAAAAACACCCTTGACTTTTTTCACTAAGTTCTCATACAGAGCATTTTACACTTCAAGATAAATGAATTAATGTGAACATTTAATGTAATGGAAATGAAAGGACTTTCACTTTTCAGAATTCTAAAAACTCAGTGGCACAGCTGTAAGACAAACACAAGAATTTCTCTCAGCCCAGCAGCCAAACTGCTGGATAGGACTTTACAGTCTTCTTCTGAAACACTTTCAGTAAGACAGTAGGTTCTCAGGAATAATCAGGAAATTTTAAGGACTACTGGTTTGTTTAGAATGTCTCTTTAATGAACTAGCTCCCCTCCCTAAATCCTCTAAGTATTTGAACTAGGAAGGAAAAAGGTTGTGAGGTCACTGCCTAATGTTGTTTATTTCAAATAGGAGGTGTAGTAATCCTACCAAAAGTAAGACTACACAGTTCATATATATTACACAGATTAATTGCATTAGAAATCTTTTTTGCAAATCTGATATTTTCTTTTATGAATGATCTTTTCCAGTATATTTATCTTTGCCTGTATTTATGATTGCTATCGATCTTAGATTGATACCTGACATACTAAGATGCTCTGCAATCCTACTTTTATTTCTTCCCATAACAATGTAAGCTACCAAAGTTCTACTCATCTGACTTGAAAACAGAGAAACTAAGTGGTCTGCTCAAATCAAAACTGCAAAGCAGCAGATGACTGTGATGGACTGATGCCCAAGTCTAATGCTCCAACCACTCTGCTCTTTCCCCCAGTGAATCCAGTGATACTTGGTTTTGATGTCACTTCAAAAATACTGAATGAGAAATAAGAAGGTGCAGTTTCAAAGCCTGGCTAATAAAGAGTAGACTCTCTCTTCTGGGAGAATTTAAAACACTTTAACACTCTTTAAAAAAAAACAGAAATTTTAAAAAAGTTACAGAAAGACCAAGGATTCTGTATCTACATTCTGCCAATACGAACATTAAGCCTGTTCTCAGCAGTCTCTGTATTTTTTGCACTATTAACACAATCAACTGTTAAGAAAGGAAAAATCAAAATAGACCTATCAAGTACTGATAAAAATGTATTTTTCCCATTTAGAAAGCCTTGTACAAAATCAGTATTTTAAAATTGCATTTCTAAAGAACGCAGATTTTGAGCACTTCGTAATTTCACAGATCTGCAATTAAAATATACTCCTTGATGATATCTAAACATTATGCCTGGCAATGCTGACTGTATTCTTAAAGCATTTGAGGGAGTTTTTCCTCGTGATGATGAAATCCTTTTCCATTATAGTTGACTAACAGTTGTCACAGAACATATGTAGCAGCATCTATGGAAGTGTACCTGCAAGCAGCACTGTTACCTTGCCTCTACACAGCCACTGCTAAAACAGAATATTCAGTACCTATCATCCTGAATGACCTAGCAAATACCAGCAACAGCAGGATATTTAACTCTTCATCCCTAACTACTATGCAACACAAAAAGTATGCAAGTACGTGCTCATTATAACCATGTTTGTTACACCATCATATTGGGCAGGTGTTCCTTTGTGTGCTGCTCTGTGCAAGGCAGACCCACCTCACAGTGGTATGCTGGATATGGATTGTGATTCTGCTCTGAAAACTTCCTCAGCTTTTCTCTCACGAAGGATGAGTAAAGCTGAGAGGTGGGGTGAATCTGACCCATAATAAACTATTTCTTACCTGCAGGGTTGAGTCAGCTCATATTTCTGCATCCCTGACATAGGCAAAGGTGCAAGTGAAATCAGGATTTTTATTTATCCCATGAGGACTGATCTTACAAGAACTGCAAATTATGCTCGTGTGACTGGAATGCATGGTTTTGCTTTATAAAGAACAAGCCACAAACTACTGATTACAACAGTGTTCTGACTGGCCTACTTAAAGAAAACATAAATTATGCACACTTGTCACTGACGTGTTTTTAATGAAATCAACAATATTTTAAGCATTAACTATACTGTTTGCTTTACTGTGACAGAACAAGGCATTTTATCTTTCAAAACTCCAGTTTTCTGTATTATGTCTAATCAACATCCATGTTTATGCAATTCTTCAGCATGTCTACAAATTAGAACTTAAAAATTACCGTGAGCATAACTAGCCTAATTCTGAGACATGCACTGTTCAAACTGTACTGTTTTCTAAATCAATTTATTTTATACAAAAAATACAAATATTTAGAAATACAGCTTTTCAGAAATGTGTAGTATGTTGCTTCTTGGTTTGCTAGAAGTTCAGTAGGTGGCTTAAAACCATGTGCACTCAATGCTGTCCTCTAAAGGGCTGAATATTAGATCTTTACCTCCAGTTTGAAATATTAATCTGAAATTCAGGATTTTACTACAGAAACATTTTCAAACAGTTTTAAATAGCTCTTTCACTCAGATGACTAAGCTTTCACTTGCTAGCAGCATCTCAAAATACCTCAGTTACTGCCTTTCACCACATACAATACTTGAATTCCCAATGAAAAAAAAAAAAAAAAGAAAGACTAAAGCTCTTCCTGTATCATGAAGAAGCCATTTTGTACACTGGTGGACAACTCTGAAATGCAGGAAACACATCTGCCTTATCTAAAGAATGTGTAGTTTTAGCTGGGACACTACATTAATACAGTGAAGCCAAATATGTCTCTTCCCAAATATTCTAGAATGCCATCAGTTTTCTTCAGATGTTTTACTTATACAGTGCTGTAAATATATTTCAAAATGACTTTATAGATGATCTTATATTGATCAAATAGCTTCAAAAGTTCATTATTTCCTTTAGGGAAATAGGTATCTAAACACCAACTACTAGATATTGTTCTTCCTTTAACAAAAATATCAAGGCTAAAGGTAAACATCCACAGACTAATGCGTGTGTTGTCTCAACTCTACCTTTACCAGAAGCTGCCAATCCAAAAGAAGAAATCTTCAGATTAGCCATGGTTTCTGTCAAATGACGTACCTAAAGATGGGACGAATATCAGCAAGAAGTAAACTACATGTGATTAAAAAAAAAAAAAAAAAATCATAATCACTGCTTCAAGAGTTCTGTGGGAGATGCTACTACAAAAACCTTGTCTCTCCTGCAGAAGTAACTAGGATGTGTCTATAATGAAAAAGAGTCTGGCACCACACTGAAATAGCACTTATTAGACAGTAATTTAAAAAATAAGCTGCAAAAATAATTTCTAGGAAAAAAAAGGGCTTATGTCAGACCCTGCATCTAAATTTTGCTACCCACTTCTAACGGCACCAATCCAGAAAGTAGAATTATATGATCACTGTTGCACACAGTCTGTTCTCCAACCTGTACAGGAGCACTAGACCTAGATACTGGGCCAGGAACAACATTATCATTTATGCCATCTTGTGTTTTTTTTTCTCTCTACAACTTTTCCAACTTCATTAATGCTTTTTCTTGTACAGAAAATAATATAGTATTTCTTGCTGCACCTTTTTTTCCCCTACTACAACAAGATACCAGAACTAAAGTATATGCCTGCAAGTTTGAAAGTATCCACCGCTCCTTTTACATGAGCTGCACAAAGGCCAACACTTCAACCTGGCAAATAATTCATGATTGTCCATCAAAAACAAGCATGTGGGCAGCATGCTTAGTTTCACACCTCAAAAGGAAACCATTTGTAATATACAAGTTTAGTGACTGAAAGAATCTCTTTAAAGTTCTTGGACAAATCAGGAACATTCCTCAGGGTATACTAAGCACTTGAGTACTCCTCTGCTGTGTGTTTTTGTTTTTTTTTGGGTTTGGTTTGTTTTGTTTTCAATTAGAAGTACATTCATTTTAGCACATGCTCACTAGTATTCTGTTTGGTAATTCAGCATTCAAAAATACAATAATATTTTAACAGATTAATTCTATTCTTTAGAGTCACAGATTTATATTGCTTTTCCAACAATGTTGCAGGATTTGTGGAGAATATGCTTGTCATTTCTGTAGTGTTAAGCATCTCAGCTTATTACTTAGACAGTATCACTAAGAGCTGAGCATTTGAAATTCTTCACAGTAGCTACAAACTAACCTGCAACTAAAAAAGCTTTCTGTAACCTGAAACAAAGTTAACAGTAGATTAAAAGGATACTAACGTGGCCTAAATGAAGTAAATCGTTCAAAAATCACATACAATTTTTGTAAAAACTGTATAGCTACCACTACCATCTCTAGAAATATTTCTTGTGATAGTCTGAACACATTCTTAAAAAAAAACAAAACCTCATCTTCATCCAGGGATAATAATGCTCAGGGAGCATATGATATATTCCTACAATTACAACCTCGTATTCACTGTCAAAACTCACAAGAAAAAGTGGATGTTTACCTTCTACCTTTTGACTGTGAACACAAAAGGTCTGTTAACAAGACCATCTATATAAAAGTATTTTATCTATGCCAAGTAAGCTAAAGACAATTAGCTATTTCTAGTATAATTGGATGACAAAAGTGGATTGCGATGGGATCCCCAAAAGTAGTCAACATTATTCGTTAGGTTAGAACTATATATGTCACAGAACTTTTATAAATACACTTGTTCACTTAGGTCAGTGCATGACAGTTCATCACAGAACTAAATTTAAGAGATTTAATAATTGCTTTTATAATATAAAGACATATTCCTACAAGCTCCCCCTGATGCTTTCCCGACACATGATGAATAAAGTTCTGTGCTAACTCTGCCATTTGTGGGTGGCAGAATGATAATTCAGCAGTTGCACTCAGCACATCAAGAACTCGGATGCTGGCAAAACTCCTACCTTCAGCTGCACTAGCTCCCTCCCCTCTCTTAAGTCTAAGGGACTGTTACAAGAGTAGAAATTCCCACACACCGTGGACAACAAAAATGTACTGACCTTATAAAGCACCAACAGCATAGCATAATACGCAAAGAATTAGAATGTCACAGACATTTCATCAAACCCAAATGGTGGTAGAGATACAAGAAAATGTCAATGGAATGAGCTTTGGAACACAGAGTCACAGACAAGGGGTAGGGTGTGTGTTTTCAAAACCTTCAGTCATTTCTTTATATTCATCATATGAATTTAAAAAAGCCAACAAAACAAAAAGCCAACAACAGAAAAACACAAGCCAGAACCCCTAAACCAAGACATTCAGGTAACAGTGAATTTCTTGTGAATACCCACATGGTACTCTTGACTTCATTCTAGTGCTTGTTAATCACAACTTCACTGACACTCAATTTTAGAGATCTATCCAGTCGCATTATAGTAAAGGCATAATGAAAAAGTTACAAGAACTAAATTTTAAGTTTCATCCTTAAACATTCCACAGGAAAATTATCTGACACTAACTACATGCTACCAACATGTGCATATCGTTTAAAGATGCTTGAATCCTTCAGAAAATAAGCATGCATCTTCTGCTAAAACCCAAACCCACAACCCATAACTTGCATCATGAAAAAAAAAAAAAAAACAGGTTTTGGGTTTTCTATCTGTCAATCCTAAAGTTACCTTGTACTCATTTGCAGAAGTCCACTCTGGTTCTTTTCTCTTCTTTTTCCCTTTTTTATCCTTGGTGTGCTGAGTACCAGAAGCCTGGTAAGACTGCAGATCCACTCGTGAATGAAACTGGTATCGGCCACTCTCCACATCGCAGTAATAATAAATTCCAGTGGCTGGATCGTAGTACAGTTGATTCTCCTTTACATGAAACAAAAAACAGTAAATACACAAGTTAATAAAGAAGCACATATTAAGTTTAAAAAAGTCCTCAAACATACTGAAGAACTGTGGTGGCTTGACCTTTTCTGATGTCCCTTCCAACTTAAATGATTCTATGATTCTATGACTACCAGTGGCCCTCCAGCCCCTCTCTCAATCCCTCTCCTCAACAGGACTAGGTGAGAAAGTAAGACAAATAACTCATAGGTCAAGGCAAAGACAGGGAGATGACCATCATGGGTAAGCCAAATTTGACTTGGTGAAAATGTATTTAGCTTATTTCCAGCTAAAAGAATGCTAGAAGATGAGGAACAGACAAAATGGCTCTCCCAGCCCCCGTTTTCCCAAGCTACACTTCATCAGTTCATTCCAAACTCCCATGTCTCTCTCCGCCTCGTGGAGTGCTGCGGGGAGACAAGGAGTGGGGTGCTGCCGTCTGCTCCTAACAGCTCCTCCTGGCTGCTCCTTCCCCATCACACCTTCCTCCTGGACAGCACAGGTCCTTCCCATGGGCTGTAGTCAATGAAGAACTGCTCCTGCTCCACAGGCCACAGCTCCTGCCAGAGGAACCTGCCCTGGCATGGGCTCTCCACAGGTCACAGCTCCTTAACAAGCTGTTTCAGCATGGGGTCCTCCACAGACCTGCAGTATGAATATCTACTCCAGCATGGGCCTATTCCACAGACTGCAGGGAACTACCTTCTCTGGTGCTTTGAGAAACTCCTCCCACTCCTTCTCTGACCCTGGCATTTGCAGGGTTGTTTTTCACATTCCTCTCCCCACGCACACACTTCACCATGCAGCATTTTGCCCTTTCTTAAACATGCTTTCACAGTGGCACCATCAGCTTCTCTGATGGGCTCAGCTGTGTCCTGCAGTGGAACCAGTTGTGTCCCAGCAGCCCCTGACCTCTCCTCACAGAACCCACTATGCAGCCCCCAGCCTCACTACCAAAGTTTTGCCAGTAAATCTAATACAAGAACACCTCCTGTAATTTAGAACAGTGTCCTGGTTTGGGGTAGAACAGAACTGGGTCTGCTCAGTGATTTTAACTTTTCTGATACCGAACAAGAAATTACATTATTTTGTGTAACTGCACCATAAAGTGTAATCTACAGCTCCAGACATTTATGCATCTAACCGTATTCACAAACTATGTCAAAATCAATGGTATAACTTAGGATTTCAAAAAATCAAGTCCCAAAGCATCCCTGAAAACAATACAATTTGAATGCAACATACACCATTTTAAAAAAAAATTAGTTGAATGCAATGCTACAAACAAAACCTGTTTTCAGTACAGTAGTTCCACTGTGAATTTGTGTACACATAGCTCATAGGAATAAAGGAAAGCCTCCCCAAAAGCTCTCTTATGGAAAACATATAGGAGAAATTAAGACAGTGGATCACCATTTCATAATGGTTGACATCTTTCTTCAAAGAAGTATCTTCTTCCCCATAACATCAAACTAGCTAGCAACAGCACTTGTGGAGAAGCCACTGACTTCGTTCACCAGACCATCTTTTTCTAAAAGTCACCTTTTAGCTCAAGCTTTTAATTTTGGAAGAGATGCAGAGCAGCATTATAGTATAAAATTTCTACAATGCTGCACAAATTGAAGATCTAGGAGACATCAGAAAGAACTGAATGGAAGTCTAGATTTATATCTGAACCTGTTATCTTTAATTTGACTGAAATAATCTGACCACTAAAATATTTCCATTACTATTCATCTTGGTAACATGTTTGTCAAATCACAGGATAAGCTTAGATCTTAGCTGTTCACTCACATCAACTTCTACCACTAAAACTTTAAAAACAGAGAAAAAATGCCAAGGGTTTTGAAAAGGATCTTTACCGAATTATAGTAGAATCCAGTGCTATGGTCATAATACAATCCTGTATTTTCATCATAAATAAATCCGGTTTGTGAAACAGCAGCTTCTGCAGCAGCTCTCAAGCTCTCCGCCAAAGAACCCTCTGGTACTGAAGGATCTTCTGCTTCCTGATACCAGAAAGTAAGACATTAGATTTTCTTCTACAAAGAACCTCTTTGGTTCTTTAGCATTTTACAATGCCCTATTTTAAATAAAACAAATTATTGTTTTATGGACTTGGATTGTTTCAAGAAGTGGTGTTTTGAACAAGAAGGCAAAAATCTAGCTGTTACCAACACTTCATCTTGCGTGTTTTGTTTTCCCCAGCCTTCACATCTAAAATACACACAGTGAATAACTTTCAGCACATTGCCAAAACAGAATCCTGCTCGCTGTTCCATTTCAGTTGCTAAACGCTATGGCACAAAATCACTTATGCCAGTGAGATGAAGGGAATGATCTAAGAGAAAGCTGGCTAGCAGAGGTAAAAAAACCCCAACACAATAAAATAAAATTGTTTTCCCCAGCCTTCACATCTAAAATACACACAGTGAATAACTTTCAGCACATTGCCAAAACAGAATCCTGCTCGCTGTTCCATTTCAGTTGCTAAACGCTATGGCACAAAATCACTTATGCCAGTGAGATGAAGGGAATGATCTAAGAGAAAGCTGGCTAGCAGAGGTAAAAAAACCCCAACACAATAAAATAAAATAAATAAAAGCGCCTCCAACAGCTTTCTTCTTATATGAATGGAGGAAAAAAAAAACCAAACCATACTTGTCCAAAAGCACATCTTTTAAACATAATTAAAAACTGTTGACTTCAAAACCAGTAAAATCACAAACTGTTCTATAACCTGTGAATCCTGGATGAAATTTTCTTCGCCACCATCTTCAGCAACTTTGGTGCTATCCATGGTTAAAGGAACATCTGCCTGGGATTCCTCTGTGGAATTATGCTCAGTGCCCTCAGTGCCATGACTGTGGTGCACCGGCAGTTCAGATGCACAGTCTTGAGCATCACTGTGGTTGTAGTAATTTTCATAGTAGTAATAATCTGCAGGGGGAAAAAAAATAGTTGAAGGTGCATAAATTAGCAAAGAAATATGTTACAAAATGCAGTTCAAGAATCCTAAATCTTAAACTGAATATTTACGCATGTAAGTAGTCTAAAGAAATTCAATTATTAGGTAGTGCCTCTGTGCTGAATTTATCCTACTCTTACTGAACAAATTATGCTGTGTTCTAATGTACTGAGAAATGGGTAAAACATGTATGTGTGTGATGTGCAAGATTACTATGTAACAGATGACTAAGGCATGAACTGTGCTACAGTCCACGCTATATTTTACCCTGTTCTAAAAGGAATGGCATGAAGAAATCGAAAATGTTCCAAAGGACAGTGTCAGGGTACTCAATTCAATGCAGCTAAGGCTACAGGCTTACAATATATTTTATAATAAACAAAAAAATAAAAATAAGATAGCGTTCTGGATGTCTGGTTAAGCAACCACCACCCTCTCTACCTGCTTGTGACCACGCAGCATAGTCCTCTGTCTGTACTTCCACGCTAGACACAACAATCTCCTTCCTACTGTGGATTTCTTTAGTAAGCTCTTCAACCTGAAAAGAAAAATGGCATGTTACAGAACACAGCGCTGTGTTTTAGGGGTCTACAACAGAGAAGAGCATCAGCCTATTTCACATCCCCTACATCAAACAAAACACAATTGCATCATGGTGTTTCAAGGGATCTTTGTTTTGTGGGAGACAGTTGTCTACTGGAATGGTTGGCATAATGAAATATGTGGTTTTTGCTCACAAAGGGTGTAACGTTAAAGGCAAGCACTTGGGATGAAAAGGAGAAACTCAACCGCGGTTATTTTTAAGATGTCCACTCTGAAAACCTGGATTTCAAGCAATAAGCACTATGGTGACAGGGGCATTTATTAAAATTCCCTATTTTGCCAGAAGAATCCATTGTACAGTTCTTCCACTCCTCCTATACCCCATCTTCTTGATTAGGCTTCCCTCCCTCCGTCCTCTAAAGGTAGCTTCTTTTTCTGACTGTGAACAACTTCGGAGCTAAGGAGGCGTCAGCGTTCTCCCCCCTCCCCGCTGCCCGCCGCGCCAAACGCAGAACGCTACCTCGGGACAGCAAACTTGACGCACCACCGGCAGCACAAGTGGCAGCACCTCCGTCTCCACTCGCTGAACTCCCACAGGCCGCGAGACCTGGC